TCTCTCTCTCTCTCTCTCTCTCTCTCTCTCTCTCTCTCTCTCTCTCAAATGAAACAGGAAAGCTAGGTTTGGGTATCAGACAGACTGAAGCTTGATTATAATTGCCTGTTACTCACCTTGAAACATCATACAAGTTATGTATGTAATTTCTCCAATCTTGAGTTCATTCGTTTAAATATAAAGTGATTTTGGTGACATTTACCTTCTATGACAGATGTGGGAGTTAAACACAATTACAAAAATGCTAATCCTCTCTCTCCAATAATTGTTGCCCTGGCTCTGTATTGATAGTTCCTGCCATGTGTTTAATAATAGCCTACATTCAGTAATTATATCCTGGAGATTGAGAGGACAAACACATCAACCCGTTTTGAGCTGTCTTGTTCTGCTTGTGCTTGCTTTTTGTTTTTATTGTTATGTGTAATTTACCCATAGGACAATTCCATCAAGACATCAAAGTATAGTTTCTTTAACTTCCTGCCCATAAACCTGTTTGAACAGTTCCGGAGACTTGCAAATGCCTATTTCCTCATTTTGCTGTTCCTACAGGTATGACTGCTAAGACATTTATAGTGTGTTCTAATCTGCTTTGGGGTCAGGCTGTATTCTCAGTAACTAGACTAGGAGACACCCTCTTCATTTTGACATGGATAAATGGCTGTCTGGAGTCATTGTCCAGTTCCCTGGAGTAGCAGAAGTCAGGATTAATCAATGTGAGGCAAGCCTTTGTATGGAGACACAAAGATGGAGTCCCATGGGAAGGGAACTCCTTCATTATGGCTGTGTCAAGTTCAGCTTGATCACAGGAAATCACAGATTGTTCACTATAACCCTATTCGTCTTTCTCATCTCAGCCTCTGTGATAGGAAGTTGACACATATCAAGGGGAAAGAATTGTATAGAATATAAGGAAGCCAACACAAGGAAAGGAATCCACATAAGGAGGCCCATATTGAGAGGACAGGACAGATTTTACTTTCCCTTGCATTGAAGGTGTGGGACAATCATGGGTTTCCCATGCCTACTCTCTTTTATGCTTGTTTATGTTTGTTTATGGGTGTTCTGCATACATGTATAAGTATCTGTGCCATATGCATACCTGGTACATAAAAAAGAGGGCATCAGTACCTCTAGAATTGGGGTTATAGATATTTGGTACTAGGACTTGAACCTGGGTCCTCTGAAAGAGTATCCAGTGCTCTTGACCACTGAGCTATATCTCTCTTACCATCCTATCTTCCATTATCTTTCATTATTGGAGAAGAAATGACTCTTTCGATTAGGACTAAGATAGAGACATTAACAGCATGTTAAGTGACAGGTTGGAGCCTTTTCTTCTTCTTTTGGGAAATGCTTACCTGGATTCAGGGATATAAGAAAGTTACCACAGCGAAGAGCTCCTGGGCCGTGGGGTTTATGATTATAAACCTAGAGAGGTGAAAATAACGGAGGCAGGAAACTGGGGGATATATATTCTTCTTTAGGTTTCCTAACCCTATGATCTCTATTTCCTTCTCAAAGTTGATCCCACAGATCTCCTCCCTGGCCTGGTACACAACTGTGATACCCCTGATTGTGGTGCTGTCCATAACTGGAGTGAAAGATGCCGTCGATGATGTGGTGAAGTGGCTTCCTGGGCTTCCCTCACTATACCTAGTAATTGGGCTGTGGGCAAAAAGACTTCCTGGAACTACCTTGTGCCAAGAAGTGCTAAATAGAAAGATGTCTCTCACATTTGTTCCCTTATCTGTCCCAGACACCATATTGTTTCCACAGGTCTAAGATTAGTGGTTTCTGCTTGGCCAGAAACAGGCAATACAGGCCTTTTTCTGCTCCGTCACTTTAGGTCTTTTTCCAGCCTTCCTCCCTCTCTTCTCAGAGACCCAGCTCCTGCCCCTTAGCTTTGTCTGGCTTTGCTGTCATCTTTCTTCACCTGATTCCTTGTATTTCACATCTCTTCCTTCTTCCCCCTGTTCCCTACTCCTTCTCCCTCCTGTTCTTACTCTTTCTTCTCTCCCTCCACATTCCCTTTCTCTCCAGTGTTCTCTGTTTTCCTTTTCCAAATGCCACTTCTGTTTGGCATGCACAGATAGGAGCTCTAGAAAGCCCTGTGGCATGGTCAAAGGCCCACTCATTTCCTTCCATTGGAAAGAGATACTAGCCTGTCACAGCCATTGCTAATTATAAGGGATCACCCTGGATCCAAAACCTACTAGTGGGGTTTGAGAAGCTGTCCTTGTGGTGTCTTCAAAGAGGCCTGATTTTTGTCAAGATAGCATAGGGACTAAAGTTTAAGAGTATGACACTTGGCCGGGCGGTGGTGGCGCACGCCTTTAATCCCAGCACTTGGGAGGCAGAGGCAGGCGGATTTCTGAGTTCTCGGCCAGCCTGGTCTACAGAGTGAGTTCCAGGACAGCCAGGGGTACACAGAGAAACCCTGTCTCGAAAAACCAAAAAAAAAGAGCATGACACTTTCCACAATGCCTTTTTATCTTTGTAAAATCTAGGCTTACTACACATAGTGGTTTAGATTTCAGTCACAACTAAGTTACTCAAACTGAGCTACATAAACTCATTTTAGCTCTGGACTATCTACATACCCTGCTACCATTTCCTTCTAGTGAGAACTCAACTTGCCAACGTAAGGCAACCCAGCTACTTCTGGTTCAGAACTCATCTCTTTAAAATAAATGTTGGGAGAACCCAGAATCATGGAAAACTGAATATTCTGCCTGCCCCATCCAAGTCCTGCCCTTCTCCAGGGGAGATCGAGCTCACCCCCAAGGAGCTGGTTCTTATAAATCCTGTCACTGGGGCATGTGCTGTGTTTGTTCTTGTGCTACTTTAGGGCTTTGAATATTGGCTTCTTTATTCCCCACATCTGCTTCAAATGCTTCTGGGTAATTCCTGCTTCTTTGTGCAGCATGAGGGAATTCCCCAGTGCTGTCTGGCATGTGCCCTGTTCTCTCAGCTTTTGAGTTATTAATTTTTAAGCTCCTAGGCATTCGTCTTTTATATTTAGCCCAAAGATGGGTCTCTTTCTTTTCCCTGAGTTCTTTTTCTGCCTTCCTTCCTAGTTTCCAATGAGCATTAGCCTCTTAGCCTGGTTTTGATGGTAGGAAGGCTTTGGGATATAGAAGAGGGAATCACAAACAAGAACTACATTGGGTAGTACTTTTTAAACATTTAAACTGTACATGCGATTTTCTGTTTGTCTATTTCCTGACTATTTGCTGCGTGATTTTAGAAAAGACACCGAAGTGACCAGCAAGTCAACAACCGCTCTGTTTTGATCCTGGTGAATGGCAGGTATGTTATCTTAGGAAAGCCAGGATAGATAGGATCAGTCCAGGAAGAGGTCACCATTGCTAAACCTTGATGTTGTAGGTACTTTAGGAAGGTAGTTCAGGACAGTGAAAAGGGCTCCATGTTAAACTTAAAAAGAATTTGTTTCTATTTCATTGAGTTCTTTCTTTTTGAGATGTTGGGGATCAAACCCAAGACCTCCATATTGGGATCCAGGAATCACCTCATAAACCACACAAACACCCATCTCAGTCTGACAGGGATAGTTTATTGAACATATACCCCAGGACTGATCAACCAGAGCCATGGTCCAGATTTAGGAACTGAACTATGACCCCAAGTTGAGGTCCTTTTCAAGCCTGAAATCTACAAACGTCTGTGCCAAGTTATTCCACCAATCAGGATTTAAGGATAGGAGATTTCCTTAAGGATATGTCCTTAATGTACACTTATCCTGCTCTCATTGGTTAGAACATTCAACTGTGGCAGGGGACTTGCTTTGTCTAACATTCATGTCTTAACTTGTCTACCAAGATGGGACTTGTCTAACATTCCTGTCCTAACTTGTCTACCAAGATGGGACTTGTCTAACATTCCTGTCTTAACTTGCCAACCAGGATGTCAGTTACTCACATATATGTCTCTTTCTGCCAAATAGGATGTCAGTTTCCAGGGAGGTCTTAAGAACTTAAACTTATCTGACCACTACTCAAAATGAAAGTCTTATTTTAAATAGCTTCTTTTATCTCTTATGTTGGGATTCATCCAGGGGCAGTTTATAAAAACAAATATCATAAAAGCTTAGACACAGGTGCAGGAAGTGCTGTTAGGTGGTTAGTTTGAGTCCAAGCTTATCATGAGTAACTATACAAAACAGTTCTACTGACTTCTATCATGATTGGCTTCCAAGGGCACAAAACATAACAGAATATGTTATCAAATTGGCATAGTTTCCTAGTAACAGCAGAAACATATGAGAAAGTTTGCTTATAATAGCAAGCTAGTCAGGTAACAATTACCTAGGGCCTAATATTTACCTAGGTTTTAACATTCCACCTAGGCCTTAATATTTTACTTAGACCTTAGCACTCATGTATGCTAGGAAAAGGCTCTAAGAACTTGCCTGTAGATGTTTCTAGCATACTATGAAGTGCCCAGACTGAGATGCCTCTGGGCTTCTTTTCTATACAGTGGAAATAATAAGCTCTATCTTAGATGCCTGAGAAAATAAAAATGAAAAAATATATCCAAGCAGTTGATAAATGATAGTATGAAATTAATATGCTGGTGACTATTATCAGAGTGATTGGCCTCAGGACATCGGCCTTTAGAACACAGTGGATTCTGACAAGGCTCACTGGCTGCACTACTACAGCCTTTCATCCAGGCATCAGCACAGTTCACCAGTTCAGGATAGTGTCCTCACTGGCTCCATGGCTGAGCTACATGGTGGTAAGACTGGAACAAGGTAGACATGTTCCTACAGAAGGCAAAATGTGAAAAATATTCTAAGAGGCATGGCAAGTGTTACAGAGTCATGTCTGACAAAAGGGATTATGGAAGAGGTGATGTCTGTACCAGATCTGTATCAGAAGTAGGAAGTGCTGATGAAGTTGGAGGTTCATGAAAGGAACATGAGGAAAGAAACCCACAAGCCTGACAAAGTCACCATGAAGGCCAGCCTTGCAGGGCCCTGATCTCCTGCAGCTCGGATCAGGCCATTCTGTTGTCCAAGCACTTGGACATCTGACCCACATTACTCAGAGAGTATTGCTTCCTCCAGTCTTTTATATGGCTGTCTGGAAGTTCTCAAGACCAAAAAGGTGAATTACTAATTAAGATGGGGAAGGAATAATATTATTTTAAAAAGGCAAAATTGAGTGTATTAGAAGCTTAACAAACTGAAGAATTTCTGACCAAATAAATGTAGTCAAATGAACTCCCTCAGATAACTCAAGTACTTGTATTTGTTGGTTTTTATACACAATTTTTGGAGAAGAACTTTTCGCAGAGAGAATTTAGGAGTTAGCCAGAGGCCCTGGTGTGCATGTGTGCATGTGTATGCAAACATATTTATGTCCTTTAACAGACAGGAAGTGACTTAGGAATTCTGTTGGAAAGTTGAAATACAAAGAGGAGAGAGACAGAGAGGGAGATAAGAGAGAGAGAGAGAGAGAGAGAGAGAGAGAGAGAGAGAGAGAGAGAGAGAGAAAAGAAAAGAGCTGGTATTGTTGAATCTGCTCATACTACCAGACTTCCTTTTATAGGAAGTGAGGATTTAAAGGGTCAAAGGTAACCCAATAAAAGAATCAGATAAAATTAGTAAAGCCCGATGATAAAATACATTTTAGCTATTTAATAAAAGAATGAGTCACATCTATATATGTCCTCTAAGGTATGTTATTAAATAAATAATGAAGAAAGTAAGGTATCTACTGTTCAACTTTATTTTTTTGAGACAGGGTCTCACTGTGTAACCCTACCTGGCCTTGAACTCTCTATGTAGAACAAGCTGACCATACTCACACAAATCCTCCTGCCTCTTCTTCCCAGGTACTGGGATTATAAACCTTTCTGTGTAGTTTTGAAGTATATATAGGGTAGAGGATTCTATGAATTGATACTTTCTAGGAAAGTTTTAAAATATAGTGGCTGCCTTTGAGAAACAAAGCTAAAGGCTAAGGAAAGAGATGTGTCAAAAGAGACAGCTCGCTCTTGACTGCCCAGAGCATGAAGCTCAGACGCACTCTGCCCTCTGCAGCATGTCTTCCTTCATTCCGGCCCTTCCTGTTTCTTTCACTTTGTTTTATTTAGTTGTCAGATAGAGCTCTGGAGAGACTCTGAGAGGAGAGATTGAAGGCCCATTTCTTACAGGGTTGAGGAGAACAAGTGGAGGGATGTGCAAGTAGGAGACATAATCAAGCTGGAAAACGACCGTCCTGTCACGGTGAGCGCCTCTGGCCACAGCCTTTCCCCTCTCTCCTTGAATTAGGATCAGGGAGCCCTATAGCATTTTTGCCTCCACCTCTCTTGGGAACCTTTCTGCTGCCTCTGGAGATCATCAGCTCCTCAGGCAAGCTTTTCTTGTCCGTCTCTCATCATAGCTACAGGTGAAATGGAGCAATTTTGAGAGAAGTGTGTGGTCACAGTGATGGGTCATTGATAAGCATAAACCAAGAGTCTGCAAAGTTCTTAGAGTACTGCGTCCCATCACACTGTCATGTTAGGAGCTGCCTCCTGCTTCCCTCTTCTCTGACTTTTCTGATTGCAGGCAGATGTACTGTTACTCTCTAGCAGTGAGCCCTACGGTCTGACATACATTGAAACAGCAGACCTGGATGGGTAAGTGTTTCTTCCTAATATTACAATAAGAAAATCTAGCCAAATCAGAAGCGAAGTGTGATGCAAGAAACTAATATTGTTCTCACATGGAAGTAGTAGTTTATGTTCCAGAAAACTAAAACTATTTAAGTAAGAAAAGACAGGAAGCCATAGCCATGGCACCCTTCAGTCTAAGTCTGAGCCATGAGTAGCAATAATGAGTGTTTACTGGATACAGAATTGGGAAAATAGACTCCAAATTCTCTATCTATAAACTTGGGTCAGTCTGTCCTTCCTGCTTGCGACACCTATGACTTGTCTTTAATGCTTGAACATTGAAAATATTTTTTAAAAGTTTACTCTGAACTGAATATGCACAGATTTTTTTAACATAGTATTTGTGTTGTATGAAGAGAATGTGTATTGGTTATATTCAAATGCTGGACCATTTTATAAAAGACAGCTAAGCATTGATGAATTTAGGTGTTCATGTGTGGTCCTAGACCCAAGAAGATACTGAAGACACTGAGGGACAGCTATATTCCATGATGTTGACTAGCATGAACGACAGTTATAAGATTGCAAAATTTCAGAATGGGGTTACAAAGTTTCCAGGAGGAATTTAAGCAAAGAAGTAATCATCATCTAAAAAAAAATTTTTTAAATGGACCTTCATTTACTTGTAGAAGCTAAGGTCTTACTTGGGAAGATGGAGGCCATTTCAGAGACTTGTGCTTGAGATGTGCTTGTGGTGGCCATTCTTGGTTGTCAACTTGATCACATCTGGAATAAACCAAAACCTAAGCTTCTGGGTACACCCATGATGGAGAGAGATTTTTTTTTCTTAATTAAATCATTGAAGGTGAGAAGATCCATCTTTAATCTGAGCTGCACCAGTGACAGCCTATACAAAGGACATGGGAGAAGGTCATGCTCACCCTTTGCCTCCTTGTTCTCACTCTCAAGTCACTGGTAGTAGAGCTTACTTCTTCAAGGTTCTGGTACGAAGAGCAGCTGACACATCCAGCCTTGTGGACTGAACAGCCACTGGATTCTTGGACTTTGTGTTTGGAGACAGGCATTGTTGGATTAGCTGGCTCACAGCCTGTAAGCCACTCCATGTTGTAAATACTTGTGTTTTCCAATGGTCTTAAGCATCCTCTGTGAAAGGGTTGTTTGACTCCCACCTCCCAAAGGGGTCACAACCCACAGGTTGAGAACCACTGTTCTAGAGCAAAAGAAGTATAAGCATGACTTTTAAAAAAATTTCAGGACTAGGCTTCCAATTTGCCAACACCTACAGTTACTGAAGACTCCCTGGTAGTATTGGAGCATGTTGAAAGCCCATGGTTAGAAATATTTGAAGGGCTTGCTGCATGGAATAAAGAATTTAGTGACTCTCTGCATAAAACTTTTGAGAATTTTGGGAAAATAAGTAAAATAATCCTGCTGGTTATATCTAGCATCTCTGGGATAAATTGACAACAGAAAAGAATGAACTAAGATAAACTTAATCAACTTTTAGTACCTTAAGACACAGGGGCAAAGGCAAAGAATGAAATGATTGCCTGGTTCCACATGTGCATCACCAGTCTACAGGTCTCCAGCAGCCATAGAGCACAAGTTGCAGAAAATCAGATGGAAGCCCCCATTGTTGGGTTGGCGAAATTCCAACAAAAACTCAAATCCCAGCCTTGGATTGGTAAGTGGGGATCCTGAAAGTTAGGATGGAGATGTGTAGGAGGACCCTACTGAGGCTGGAGACTTTGAACCCTCAGATTCTGAAGTGTTTTTCACGTGAGGAAGTAGTCCCTCCACCATTAGCAGAATCCCAACCACCACCTTCTGAGGAAATTAATCCTTCCTTGTCTGCTAAACAGTCAGTAATCTTCTCTGAAGGAGACTCCAGGCAAGATAATACCACTGTCTCTCAAGGTTCTCCAATGGTCTCTAGACCTATAACCATACTGAAGGCTAAGCAGGCTCCTGGAGGGGTAATAGAAAGTTTAGTCTGTGAGGAGGTACACTGCACCACTTAATGAGTCTACTAACTCATGCAAGTAGAAATCTTGTATGTACAAAAATAGATTTTAAGAGTGAGGGATGCCTTCGGCCCCTGCCTGGTCCCCGGGACTGGAGCAGACACAGAGTCGGTCTGCTCCTGTCCTGTGGAGAAACTGAATCCTGAGTCATCCAGGAGCCACTGCACTCAGAGCAGCTGGTAAGAACTCCATCTCACTCCCTAAGCCCCAGAAATACATCTGGGAGCCAGGGACATCCAGGGCACAGCAGCTACCCAAACCCCGCCCCTCCGGAATTCCACTTCCCTTCGGCCCCTGCCTGGTCCCTTGGACTGGAGCAGACACAGAGTCGGTCTGCTCCTGTCCTGTGGAGAAACTGAATCCTGAGTCATCCAGGAGCCACAGCACTCAGAGCAGCTGGAGCCACTACACTCAGAGCAGCTGAAACTGAATTCTGAGTCATCAGGGACCCACTGCACTCAGAGCAGCTGGAGCCACTGCACTCAGAGCAGCTGAAACTGAATCCTGAGTCATCGAGAACCCACTGCACTCAGAGCAGCCGAGGAGCCACTGCACTCAGAACAGAAGGATTACCAGATCCAAGAGGTGGCCTGAGTCCCAGGAGTTCTTCCACCCGGGAGATTAGGGGCATAAGACCACAGAGACCTCTGGACTCCGAGGAGCTCTGCAATAAGCAAGATAACTGGAAATACAGATTCCAATCTTACACAGAGAGGGCAGGTACCACTAGAGTTACCCAGATGGCGAAAGGCAAGCCCAAGAACATAAGCAACAGAAACCAAAGTTTCTTGGCATCATCAGTGCCCAGTTCTCCCAATATAGCAAGCCCTGAACACCCCTTCACACCTGAAAAGCAGGATTCAGAATTAAAATCACTGCTCATGATGATGATAGAGGATTATAAGAAGGAATTAAGTAACTCCCTTAAAGAAATACAGGAGAGTACAAGTAAACAGATAGAAGCCCTTAAAGAGGAATCACAGAAATCCCTTAAAGAAATGCAAGAAAACACAAAGAAGGAATTAAACAAAAACATTCAGGATCTGAAAATGGAAATAGAAACAATAAAGAAAGTTCAAAGGGAGACAACCATGGAGATAGAAAACCTAAGAAAGAGATCAGGAGTCACAGACGCAAGCATCACCAACCGAATACAAGAGATAGAAGAGAGAATCTCAAATGCAGAAGATACGGTGGAAAATATTGACACAGTTGTCAAAGAAAATGAAAAAAGCAAAAAAAATCCTAACTCAAAACATCCAGGAAATCCAGGACACAATGAGAAGACCAAACCTAAGGATAATAGGTATAGATGAGAATGAAGATTCCCAACTTAAAGGGCCAGTAAATATCTTCAACAAAATCATTGAGGAAAATTTCCCTAACCTAAAGAACAAGATGCCCATAAACATACAAGAAGCCTACAGAACACCAAATAGACTAGACCAGAAAAGAAATACCTCCCGTCACATAATAATCAAAACATCAGATGCACAAAACAAAGAAAAAATACTAAAAGCAGTAAGGGAAAAAGGTCAAGTAACATATAAAGGCAGACCTATAAGAATTACACCAGACTTCTCACCAGAGACTATAAAAGCCAGAAGAGCCTGGACGGACATCATACAGACCCTAAGAGAACACAATTGCCAGCCCAGATTACTATACCCAGCAAAACTCTCAATCAATATAGATGGTGAAACCAAGATATTCCATAACAAAACCAAATTTGCACAATATCTTCCCACAAACCCAGCACTTCAAAGGATAATGGATGGAAAACGCCAACACAAGGAGGGAAACTACAACCTAGAAAAAGCAAGGAAGTAATCTTCCAACAACCCCAAAAGAAGATAACTATACAAACATAACTTTACCTCTAATAACAAAAATAACAGGAAGCCACAATCATTTTTCCTTAATATCTCTTAACATCAATGGTCTCAATTCCCCAATAAAAAGACGCAGACTAGCAGACTGGATACACAAACAAGACCCAGAATTTTGCTGCATACAAGAAACACACCTCAGTGACAAAGACAGACACTACCTCAGAATAAAAGGGTGGAAAACAATTTTCCAAGCCAATGGTCCCAAGAAACAAGCTGGAATAGCCATTCTAATATCAAATAAAATCGACTTCCATCCAAAATTAATCAAAAAAGATAAGGAAGGACACTTCATACTCATCAAAGGAAAAAGCTACCAAGGTGAACTCTCAATTCTGAACATCTGTGCCCCAAATGCAAGGGCACCTACATACATAAAAGAAACTTTACTAAAGCTCAAAACACACATTACACCTCACACAATAATAGTGGAGGATTTCAACACCCCACTCTCAGCAATGGACAGATCATGGAAACAGAAACTAAACGGAGACACTTTGACATTAACAGAAGTTATGAACCGAATGGACTTAACAGACATCTATAGAACATTTCATCCTAAAACAAAAGAATATACCTTTTTCTCAGCACCTCATGGTACCTTCTCCAAAATAGACCATATAATTGGTCACAAAACAAGCCTCTACAGATACAAAAAGATTGAAATAATCCCTTGCCTCTTATCAGATCACCATGGAATAAGACTGGTCTTTAATAATGACAAAACCAATGGAAAACCCATGTGCACATGGAAACTGAACAACTCTCTACTCAATGATGACTTGGTCAAGGAAGAAATAAAGAAAGAAATTAAAGACTTTTTAGAATTCAATGAAAATGAGGACACATCATACCAAAACTTGTGGGACTCCATGAAGGCAGTGCTAAGAGGAAAACTCATAGCTCTAAGTGCCTACAAAAAGAAACTGGAAAGAGCACACACTAACAAGTTGACTGCACAACTAAAAGCCCTAGAACAAAAAGAAGCAAATACACCCAGGAGGAGTAGAAGGCAGGAAATAATCAAACTCAGGGCTGAAATCAACCAAATAGAAACTGAAAGAACAATACAAAATATCAATAAAACCAG